ATGTTTTACAGCAAGACAAAAGACCATCAATCATATGACTGCACACATATGGCAGTAAACATCACCAAACCATGTTGGTGGTATCGTGTGACAGAGGAAAACATGTAAGATGGCAGCAAAGGTAGCAGAGAGAAATAAATGAAAGGATCTCATCAAGGTTTTGACCTCAGTCCTGTTGGACAATTAAAATGTTAGACGGTTTGAAAGTGGCTAACAAGCAGTTGGGTGCATAGAGCCGTTCAGATCACTATGATCTTGGGTCCCACTCTGGGAGAAAGACTTAAAATTACAGTGCCTTTCTCTCCCTTTACTGCCTCTCAGCCACCCACTCATTATCCAATTGAAACACATCCTCATGTATCATAGCCTCCATTATTGGCTATATATACATGTAAGGCTTCAGTGGGGAACCCTGCACGTTGTTCTCTTCGCTGCAGTGTCATGCACACACCCAAGACCTCTGGTAACCCCCAAAACACATTTCTATTAACTTGTTATAAACTAGGCCTTCTGGTCGCTGAGTCAGCAAGTAGAGAGCTTAATGAGTTACTGCCAGACATACACTGTTGTTGTCTGGGATCAAAGTTACTTTTCCAGGCACACACATTTTGTGACTTGTCCACCTGATGCATTTGAGAGTCTTCTGTGGATGGGAAGGGTTTTTTAAAGCCACATTGGCTTCCAACCTTCTCTGTATCAGTTACACATGAGGACAATATGCAGCCTGTTTGATACAATCGATCCTCCCCTTACACAAAAAGACTTGTGTGCTTAGATGGTTTCAGTTGTATCCAATTAAACTGGGCACAAGAGTCAGGCCAGAAGCTAAGAGATCCAGAACAGAGGGTCAGGACAGAGGGTCTTTCTTTGCACTCTTGAGGCCAGGGGTCGTCAATGTTTTTCCAGGCCAAGGACCCCTCAGCTAGAAAGAGAGAGCAGGGAACCCCCACTTCATATATTGAGTTGCGCTTGAGATATTTTCAGGTCTTCTCTCCTTCAGCAGCAGTTCTAGCATGGCTAGGTGAGTTAGCCTCACTGCCTGCAAATTTCGCCGGTGGTTTCTGACATGGACAGTGTGTCAGAGTGTCTTGCTCAGAAAGTCACAAAAAAAAATCTACTGTGGCTCACAAGAATGTCCATACTCTTGGAATAATAGTACAGCTAATTGGCTCATATGTTTCAATAGTGCGTAACCGTAATGAACTAGTCGGTGAAGATTCTCAGTCATCCAGGTCATGGTAATTGTGCTATATCGTAGGCAACTGGACTTGACTGCGTTTCTTGAAGACGTTTCTCCTCACATCCAAGAAGCTTCTTCAGTTTGAAATGACTGGTACGAAATTGCAGGCTATAAATCCTGTGTGGGTGGGAAGCCTTGCAGAGTCAGTAATGAACTAGCAATTTAGCATTAGCTAACTTACATGATTGCACAATAGTTAGCTTGTTAATAATTTATGTAATTTTTTTTAATAAATAGGCTAATTTGACATTAAATGAAAACCTAAATCCAATTATTAAACAGTAACAGTAATTTGGTGCCCCCTCCTGCAGTAACTCTAACAAGCCCCTAGGGGTTGCGGACCCCCATTGAAGACATACGCTTTCGGCCACAGTACATTCATACTGACCAGGTTAATAAATTACTTACACCTCTTATATATCTAGATCTCTAGAGAGTTAGATAGATAGACAGATCTGTTACTTCTCAATATGTATATACATTTATCCCTGTTAAAATTACAGTTTAGTTATTTTGTAATCACTGTGACCTGTAAATACATTTTTTATAGGCTTATGTGTATATATTTTAACTTTGCACTATGTTATGTCTTATTTCTATTTTTTACTCGCATATTTTCTTTTTACATATAGGCCTATTTAATGAGCATTGTTGGAGGGAGCCTGATATTTAAGATTTTCATTGCCAGCAACTGCTTCTCTGTAATTGTTGTTCTTATGACAATAAAGAACTTGAAACTCCTATGCCTTTACAGTCTATCAATTCAGCTTATACTGTGCCGTACCGTACCGCTGAAATGTGCAGATTCTTGAATTTATTTGTGTTTATTCACATTAAAGGACCCCACCATTCATATGGAGCCATGTCATATTCCAGCAAAGGAGGAATACGAGGAGGGGGAGGAGTTGGGTTTTAAGGGACATGTCTATCAAAGATATTTTGTTCTCAAAGCCATTGTTTTTTTGTAATTCTTCACAATGGAAGCACCGAGTATTAATGCTACACAAGCAGCGTGACGAGGCATTGAGCATTTATTCTGCACTGAGTGCTGCATATTTGGCTTTTTTTGTCTGAGTGCCAAGAGTTGAAAAACATTCAGCTTTTCGTTAAAAAGCTGCACTCGTCACTGTCACTTTTTACTTAGCCATCCAATCACAGTGGAGGAGGGGCAAGACAAACACCACAAAGACCAGCTGTCACATTTTACCCCTAAGTGCTGAATACCAACAAATAGACTGATGAATCTTCAGCCTTTCCTTTATCCAGAGCAAGTATTCTACCTTGCACCGACATTTTTCTTTAGTATATTCTGTATAGAAACCAGACACAACCAAAGTGTCTCAGCTGAAAAAAAAACGTTGTGCCTGCAAAGTGCACTCAAGAACCCCCAGCTGGACATTTCCTACAGAGCGCCTGGCGTTTTCAGCAGGAAAAAAAAAAAAAAAACCGCTTCAGTGGGCCCCTTAATAGGCCCCTTAGCAGATCAATCCAGCCTTGCATAAATCATTTTCATGTTTATTATATCATTAAGTGACAGGTCAAGACCTCTGTAGACTGGTGGCACTATCATCCAGGAGGACTGAGTTCATGACATAATCTTTCAAAGTCGCTTCATGTTTGTTGGTTTTTCTGTTTTTTTCTTAGGGACTCTTGCCAGAAAATGCGCTCAGACCTACTTCACCTTAGGAAACATTCTCCGCTTATACACTTGTTTTGTATATACCACACACATGCTCAAAAACAGGGTAAAGGATGACTCATTGGACTGTTTGACCACAGTTAATGTGTTCTTTGCACTGCTTTACTCCACAAAAAAGGCATTTTTAGGTGTAATAAGAGACTAAAGCAGTGCAACCCTACTATTGTGTCCGTCTCTCTGAAGTTCTCAATAGACTGTTTTGACTGCCCGCTCAATTGAGCCCCAGATTGACATTTACAGTCGGCTGATTCAAAGTTTCCTATCTGTTTTTCTCTTGCATGTCAAAACAAAGGTCATTTTGGTTACCAGAGAGCGTGCGCTTCCATCCCAAAGTGCCTCGCTGTGATGTCTTTCCTTCAGACCTACAGGACAGAATCACCTGATGCTGATTGTTCAATGTAACAAACAAACTGCAGTTTTTCTCTCTTACAGCTTGTTTTGAAAGAGATCTTTGTGATAATTTTCACATCCCATTAGCCAGAATAAATGACAACTGAGCCCAGCCACCACATTACATTGTAGTAAAGTTACAGTATTTGTTATTATGATTTCAACTGTGTGAAACCACTTACCTTTAATGTACTTTGTTTCCTTAGTTTACATTACCTGAGAAAGTCTGTGACTAAAGATTTGGACTTGAACTTGTCCTCCTAGAAGAGGTATAAAAACTTTAAAATAATCTTTGAAAGATTCAAAATTACACTTTCATTCTCATTTTGCTTTTACTTGCGTGATTTCCTTTTAATATATATTTAATGAGCATTGTTAAGGGGGGACCTGAGAACCAAGATTTTCACTACCAACGACTGCCTCTGTAATTGTTGTCATATCAAATTAAAGTACTTTAAACTCTTATTTGGCAGAAGCTTGTCCTACACTTACGGTGAGCTACACTTAATTAGCACTCCTGAGATAGATAATGGGGTTTTTAATGGCATACGAATCTTAAATTCATTAGATTCTACTTTTAAAGATCACCCTGAACAACCTCTTGATTACTAATATAACTGAACTGAGGGAAGCAGCGATTTAAACGACCTCTATCTCAATACCCCTTACTTCTCAATTTAAGGGTACATTAAGAGACTCATGGTCTTTGCAAATAGCAACAATTAACTGAATACATCTTTAATTAAAGAAATTTACTTTACGCAAATAATAGGACTTTAGATTGTTAACTGAAGTGCATTTATAGGTAATCATTTAGGGGTCATTTAATGGACCTTGTTCTTAATGGGTCTAATAATGGCAGCAACTTATTATTAACCTTGTAAACCATTAACAAAGGTAAACAAATTATTAATTACCAGTGTCTCATGAATTCATGATTTTTCCTAAAAGAATACGAAAAGTTGGGCTACGACATTTTATATGACAAATTAATTGAGAATTTAAAGATAATGTGTTTCGGTGGTGATGTTGAAGTGGAGATGAAACCATCTCTTCTGTATAAAGCTTTAATGCTTATTTATTCATGTTATTTAATTAATGATGTGATATGTTGATATAAAGACCTTGAAATGCACTGACACATCTCTGAGAGGAGCTACTGTGTGACGCGTTTGCATGTTTTATAGGAAAATAGCTCCATCTGTTGGCACAATGCAGCTCTAACAGCAACATCTCGAGTACAGGGATTATTAAATCACATAATAATACAGTTTTTATCAGTGTGTGTGGGATGACTTGACACATTTCAAATTAAAAAGGAAAGACAGAGAGCTAGAGTTTTTCCTTGTTTTCAAAACTGTGTGAGAATAAAAATATAGTTGAGTGGTATCTCCTCACGTGTTGATCTATAGACAGTTGCTAAAACTTTATAAAATGTGGCTGTTTACTTTGGAACAAGTTTTCTAAGCAAATAAAGATACTGGGTCACGGAGAAACTGAAACTGAAAATGAACAAATTTGTCCCTAGGTTCGAGGTTGAAAGGTGGAGAAATCACATTTTTAAGACCGCACTCCCTACAGTAATGTGACCGCCTGGTGACTCACAGGAAGTGCTTTCCTCCGCGTGCCTCAAAAGAGAAGTTTACAACACATTACATAAGAACACACACACTGACAGGGACCCTTGGCCGAGCAGTAACATTCAGCGGTGCCCAGAGCTGTTACTGTACCTACTGAATCATGGAGAGCAACACACAGAGCTCATCTGTTTCCTCATGGAGAGAATGTTCTGTCATACAGCGGATCCGCATGTTGGTCCCTGTTGGGTTCAAGGCAGAAATAATAGAGCTGTGTAAACTGGCCGGACCAGTGGTGAGTAACCTGTGGGCCTATTTTAAATATACTGTCTGTGTCCTGTCATTGTTGGTCTGAATGATTATCCAAATGAAATAGGTTAAAGTACATTTAATAACTGCACTGTTATTGACGATTGTAGAATTTAGTGTGTGGGGTGGGCCAGGCTGAAATAATAAGTTATAAATAAATATGAAAGTCAATTTCTGAAAATAAATAGATAAATAATAGTAATAATGACGATGATGACGATAATAATAATAATAATAATAATAATAATAAATCCTGTAAGTCATTCAAAAGGAGACATTTATTCGAAATACTGATTTACCATGTCAATATAATCAATTAGCACCCTAAAACTTTATTTTATCAAAAATAATTTGTATCTTAAAATAATCAGTTAGTACCTCAAAATTATTGAGAAACTTGTAAATGTTAGGACCAGCCTAGGGGAACCGGTACATAACGTGAAAAGATGCTCCCCTCTTTCCCCACTCCCAAGGATGACCAATGTCACATAGCTGCAGTCCAACAAAAGATAATTTATTTAACACTCAAAGAGAAAGGTAGAAATAAGCTTCAGGTTGGGCATGGCCCAAAACAACAAACAAAACAATCTACTTTCCAAAACTAACTTACCTACCCAAAAGTAAAGAAAATGAAAATACAGGTCTTTCACCTGACTCCCTAGAAATAAACAGGAGAAAAAGGATTAAACAAAAAGGGCTACCCACCCCTAAGGCTACCTGGACTGTTGGACTAATATCACGACTGACTCAAATTTAACAAAGTACAACGAAGCATGGTGTAGTTGGGAGTAAGGCCAAGAGAAGAGGAAGAAACTAGTGTTATGTCGTTCACGAACGAATCGTTCAAAAGGACGAATCTGTTGAGTGAACGTATTGAACTGAATCACTTCTGGAACGGATTCGTTCATTTCTCAATTCAGTTGAGCTCAGCAGCGAGCGTGCAGGCCGGGAGTGGAACTGCCAATTCCATCCGTGCGAAACAATGAATCACTCGCGAGTCACGAGGCAGCCAGCGTGCAGGGAGGGACTGCCTACCCCTTAACGAATCACTCGGTGAACGATGTAAGCCCAATTCCTGAGTGATTCAAATCATTTCTTCTCAGCGATACACTTTCATAGGGACCATTTCTCCAAGAGTCAAGCCACAGGAACACATTCACACACCTCCCCATTGTTTTTTGTTTCTTTCTGGGCTTTTTGCCTTTAATTGATGGGATAGTGTGTGAAATGGGGAGACAGAGAGAGAATGGGGATTGACACACAGCAATGGGTAGCAGGTCGGACTCAAACCCACGATGCCTCTGTACATGGGGCGCTGGCACTATCCACTTCGCTACCGATGCCCCACCTCCCCATTGTTTTAACCGACTTAGTTTCAAGAAATACAAACTTAAAACGTTAGGCTGGCCAGTAATGAGACTCACCAGTGCAGGGAAGATGCAGCAGCAGCTCAGACGTGTATCAGTTCAGTGAGTCGGACTACGCAGTACACAGTCAGGGCTCCTCCCGCCAAGCACTGAACGATTCGATGAACGAATCTATTGAACGAATCTTTTTTAATGAACTGATTCTAGTGATTCAGTAACATCTAAAGAGCTGCCTTGCCCATCACTAGGAAGAACAGCTCAAGCAGCAGCTCCACCAATCTCCAACCACCAATCAGCAGTCAGCACCTGGAGAGAGAGAAACACACTAAGGGTGGCAGCACCACCCTCAGGCAGGGAGGAACAGCAGAGCAGCAGAATCACAAATAAATGACCCAGGGTCATAACATTAAAAAAAAAGAAGAAAAAAAGTCAGTATTTCAAGATACTAAGAAACTTCAAATAATGACAAACTTGGCCAGTAGCTCAGTGGGTTTTCACCCATCTAATCAAATAAAGGCATGGAAAGAAAAAAAAATCTTAGACATTTATAAAAGTAATGAATTAGTATCTCAAAAAAAGAAAAAATATCTCAAGATAATAAGAAACTTTCTCAAAATAATGAGAAATTTTCTAAAAAGATTTGTTGGTATCTCAAAATAACGATTAAGTATATCAAAATAATGAATTTTTTTTTCTGAAAGTAGGGACTTAGTATCCTTTATCTTTTTTTAGATACTAAGTTGTTATTTTGAGACATTAACCACCTAAGACCTGAACTTTTGTTTGGTATGCATTTTTAATTTCTTCTATTTGGGATCAGTAGGACATGATAAATATAAAAACCAAAACACTGTCAACAATAATAAAGTCCCGATGTCCTTCAGGGAGTTAATGATAAATTCCCAATGTCTTCAGATGAGCACTTCCCAATTAACAGTGTCTTAGCTTGTTACTGTTGCTAACATTGGTCAGATTTGAATGGTATATTAAACTACAAATGTTATTAATCTTAAATAAACATGTTTCACCGATGAGTTTGATCAGGTTTTGTACCTTGTCCACTTTTGGGTCGGGATCGGCTGCAGACTGACTTTGCAGAGATGGCTGCCATCTTGTTTTTAAATGGATTAGTGTATTGTGGTCTTGCTACCATTAGATGGCACAAAAAAGTGTCCACGAATGAGGACAACAGGTCTAAGTTAAGCAGAATGAAGTAAAAGGTCCAGTAAACCCAAAATGTAATGTCTCAGGAGACCTTTTTTCCGGGAAGTAGCTCATTATTTAGGGATACCAAATCTTTATATTAACCATTATTTTTTAAGATAAGTCGATGATTATTTGAGAAAAGATTCTTTATTTGTTGAGATACAAAGTCGTTATTTTGAGAAAGTTTCTCATTATTCAAATCATTATTTTAGGATACTTACTAATGTTTAAAAAGTTTCTTGTAATTCTGATGCACTTAATCATTATTTTGAGAAAGCTTCTGATTATTTAGAGATACCAAGTCTTTATTTTGAGGAAGTTGCTTTATTTTTTGGGATACAAAGTCATTTTTAGGAAAAATTCCAATTATGATAACATAAAGAATCCTGTTTTCCCCATCCACTTTTCATTAATTGATATTTTTCTCATCAGATATTGGCCCAGTCCATGACTTTTGCAGTGAGTTTTGTCAGCACTGTATTCTGTGGCCATCTGGGGAAGACAGAGCTGGCAGGGGTGTCTTTGGCTATAGCAGTAAGTACAGTAGAATAATGTTCTTACAGTGAAAGTAACAGAATCTAATCCACCAATGTTTGTGTTATATCCTCAGGTTATTAATGTTACAGGTGTATCTATTGGAGCTGGTTTGGCTTCAGCATGTGATACTCTGATTTCTCAGGTATGAGCCTTAGTCTGTCAATATATTACTATTTTTCATCATGTATGACAAGTATTGACAAATAAGAAAATGCTCTCTGGTTTTAGACCTTTGGGGGCCGCAACCTGCTGAGAGTCGGGGTCATTCTGCAGCGGGCGATCCTCATTTTGTTACTAGCATGTTTCCCCTGTTGGGCAATCCTTGCAAACACAGAGCTCATTCTGTTGGCTGTCAGACAGAATCCAGAGGTGGCCAGGTAAGTCGTGTCAAAACCCACAGATCATCTTCTGCTGCATTCTTTCATTTACATGTGTTGTTAAGAAGAATATATACTTGTATCTCAGAGCATACTTCTTGTTGATATTGATTGAAAATCTCTCTCCAGGTTATCTCAGGTGTACGTAAATATCTTTATGCCTGCACTGCCTGTGAGTATTACAAACCTCTTAGTGTGAAACTCATCTTCCTTTTACAGTAAAAGCCTTAATGTTTTCTGTGTGGGGTTCACTTGCTACGCTTTGCCAAGTGCATGCTGGGATGAGGTGTTATGAGTAGGAATGAGCTGTTCTAAAAGATGATATATTGATATCTGTTGTGCAATTCAGGAATCTTTTTCTTCTTTTCTATCTAGGCTACATTCATGTTTTCATTAAAAACAAGATATCTGCAAAACCAGGTGAGATCCTTTAATATTCAACATTAAGTAACAGGACAGAGACATCATTTAGTTTGTGATTTGCTTCCTTTTTCTCTAAAAAAAAGAATAGAAGTAAAACACTTTTGGTCAGACTATTATTTATTTATTTACAGCATCGGGTACAGAGGTATCATACGTGTTCTGTCTGTTGAAGTCAGGCTGACACATTGGTGGAAAACCCTGAAAGATCTCCTGTTGTTATCTCTGGGTTCTAACTTTGCCTGCTGTGTCTAATAAGAATAATATGCATCTCTTTCAGGGCATCATATGGCCACAGGTAATCACTGGCGTTGTGGTCAATCTTCTTAACGCTCTCATCAACTACATCTTGCTTTACGCATTAAAGCTGGGAGTAGAGTAAGTATTGCCACTCTTTTAGTAATATCAGTATTGCTTTTATCACACGACCAGTCCCATGCAGCAAAATATTCTTTACAGAGGTTCTGCTGTCGCCAACACCCTCTCCCAGTTCTCCATGGTTGGGATCCTCTATGCATATATCTGGTGGAAAGGCCTTCATAAGGCCACCTGGGGAGGTGAGTACCATATTTGCAGGAGGATAGAGATCCAGTCTATAACTGGAGGCTCCAATTGTTCCCCTAAAGCAGGTGTGAATTAGATTTTGTAATGATGAAGGAAGTTCAGAGTGGGAGGACTGTGGTTTGAGAATTTAATAACGCTGTAAGCTCAGGAAAAACTTAATGTGTGGAGAGTTTAAACTCAGTTTTGTATAAGCAAATGCATGAGTAGTGCTCCCAGACTATTTAGATTTTCTGTTTTGATTATTTGACAGTTCATTTTAAAAAAGGCACTTACATGGTTTCAACGACAATGTACAGGCACAATTAAAAGAGCAGTAGGGATGACACAATAAGTCACAGGACTTATTTCAGCCCAGTTGCCTCAAGAAAATGTTGCCATTGTTTGTTTTGTAGTATATGAGCTGATTTTGTCATAGGGAGGTGGAAGGGATGGTGAATGATGTCACAACAAGGCCAGATGCCTGTCAAGCTGCAGACCACTGTTCTAGACCAACAAACTAACAAACAAGTGATTTAATGAGTCATTGGATAGTTTCCAGCAGCTTTTTAGGCACCAAATATGGGTGTTTGTAGCAACTTGACGCTGTTTTTGCGGCAGGGATAGTGCCACGAAAAGCAATTGTTTTTTTACCCAGACATAGCAGCTTTTCATCCTGGGATTGTGTCCCCAATTGCGAGGTATTTTAAGCCAAAACATGATCTTTTCCTAACCATAACCAAGTGGTCTTTGTGCCTAAAGCTAGCCACACGCCACCACAGCATTTTTGAAGTCAACTTTCAACGGATCTGCTACATATGGTAATAACATACAAATGTAAGGCATCTGTGGTTTGCAGAAAAGCACAATGGCGATATTTGTTATGCCAATTTTTGTTTATTTCATTGTGGTCTTTGTTGTAGTTGGAGGTTGTAGAGGTGTGTGCATGGACATACCTGCACAGGGAGATAGTGCAGTACAGCATTAGTAGCATATAAAGCACAAAAAAACATCCATATACAAAAAAATATTCACATTGGGCTTTTTTTTTTTTTTTGTGTGGACTGGTGGCTGGAGAGGTGGCAGTTCACCTCCTGGGCATTGCCGAGGTGCCCTTGAGCAAGGCACCCAACCCCCCAACCGCTCCAAGGCAGTCCCCTCACTCTGACATCTCTCCACTTTGTGCATGTATAGGTCCTGTGCATGTGTGTGTCTTTCAGACCTGTGTGTTAATGACAAAAGAGTGAAAAAATTGAATTTCCCCTCAGGGGGATTAATAAAGTATATAAAATTAAAAATTAAATTAAATTACTGAGCATTATCCTGACAGCAAGCCAAACAGGCTATTTAGCTATTTGTGATAAGCTATCTGGTTGGAAAACAAACATCTAATCATTTGTGTTAAAGGTGTTCGAGAAAACGTAACACCCATCTTCAGCAACAGACAACTGTTCATTCAAGGAATTCAAGAATTTCATAGTTGATCTAGATTTCAAAATAAATCATGGGCCTGAACGCAAATACCCGTCTGATCTGATATATTCCCAGGAGTAGGTACAAATCTGATTGTTGAGAAAAAGACACTGACATAATCTAACCATTTTTGTACATGTGAGTAATTAAATGTTCATTTTTTGTCCACACAGGCTGGTCTAAAGAGTGCATGCTGGACTGGGGCTTGTACCTCCGCTTGGCCATCCCCAGCATGGTCATGTTGTGTGTTGAGTGGTGGACGTATGAAGTTGGAGGATTTCTGGCAGGTAATGTCACGGGCCACTTTGGGGTTTCAAAAGCATCTTTGTAAAGTTGGTTTGAAATCTAAATGCTGTTTGTCACTGACAGGTCTGATCAGTGAGGTGGAGCTTGGAGCTCAAGCAGTTGTATACGAATTGGCAAATGTTGCATACATGGTAATCTTACCTCTACCAAACACTAAATATGTATCAAATTGTTATGGTTTGAAATAAATCACATATTTGTACATGCAGAGTAACAAAATGTTAATATGGTATTTTTATTGTTTTAGTTCCCTATGGGTTTCAGTATAGCAGGCAATGTACGAGTTGGAAATGCCCTGGGAGCTGGAAACACAGAGGAAGCTAAGCTGTCTGCTAAACTGACAATGTTCTGCTCAGGTCTGTGTGTTCTTTAACACCATTTCTATGCTATGTGTTAACATCATAATGAAATGACATTTGAAGTTAAGATGATTCTAGAATCTCTGAATAAAGCAGTTTCACGTTACAAATCAGTGTTTCTCTGCCACTGTTTGGCTCATTAGAGACGGGCCGCTAGCCCAGCACCTGCTAATGTGTGCTAAATTTTTGTCTCTGATAACTTCACATCAAGACGTTCAGGAGGTTTTTACCAGAAGCTGAATTATTCGCAGAAATTTCTTCTGCTGCAAAACAAACCAACACAGTGATTTAAACCAGCAGAAACACTGAATAAAGCAGTTTCACGTTTAAAAAGTTGTGTTTTTTCTATGCTCTTGTCTCGGAGAGGCTGCTAACTACAGTGGCTGCTAACAACACAAAAACATGAAAACACAAATGGCCATATCTACAGCCCAGGGGCGATTGCTCTGAGACAACAAGGGAGGCTGAACTTACCCTAAAATTTCATAGAAGAAATGGTCAAATATGCACTATTGAATTTACATTAAAGTAAGAATTTACATTGCATTAAACGTGCGCTAGGATGCGTTTAACATCAGGCTATGATGTTTAAACGTCAGCTGTTTATCACCAGTTTTCAAACGCGACCTCCCTGTCATACATTCTTGTGTCAGCACAGTGAACGTTGAGCCTCCAAGCATTCCTATGAGACAGTGCTGAGCAGGTTTTTTTCATGCAGCAAAGCGAGATGGTCATTGGATAAATGTGACAAAATCGTCACTTCCAGGGAGGCTCAGCTTCCCTGGGACCTAATGGAGCGGTAGGCAGGAGAGGATGCTCGTGTATGCATGATGATTGGAGGAACTGTCTGAAAGGCTGAACCCCTTTGTGACTGACAGCACTTTGGAAATACAAACCGGCATCGTCGCAGTATTTAAAGCTCAGTCCCATGCGGATATTTGCGAGTGGAGTCTTCTGACAGAGTGCCATCCGGAGTGCCGTCCACAGTGTGGTTCTATGGCATGAGTGTGGTTGAAAAATGGCTTCAATTAAATGTTCCTTTTATAAGTTACTGCCTCGCTACAATATGACAAATTTTATGATGTAAACTTAAAGTGAACTTCCCCTGTCTGAAAGACCAGCAGCCGCCACTGCAGTGTTTGGTTTGTCGGGTTTTTTTTGGCTATTGTAGAAACATAATGGTGCAAAATGGGGATCTCTGCGGACTAGGACCCACTCCATATGTAGATGTGTGTATCCATTGCACACTACAGAATACACTTACGATATTCCATTTCTGCCAATACATCCCCCTAAAACGGAAACACCGGATCTTTAAACTAGAAAGTAAATCAAAAATAGTGGAGCTCAAAGTTGGTGACATCTGGAACTTGCTAACTGTGACGAAAGATTCCAAAACAAGAAGTTATTTTACAAGGTTTTCTCTGTTTCATAAAAGACTTAAACTATTAATCGATTGTCAAAATAATTCATTCTCCACTGACTGACTAATCAGTTACCATCTAGGCCTAATTGTTTCAGCCCCAGTTTGGTCAATTGTTGTTATATATTTCTAATTTCGCCCTAGAAATTACTGCTGAAGTAGCTTAGTTTTTACTGAGAAGAAACTGAATGATGCAACCAGTGGAAATAAAGTCTGTCACTCTTTACAACAGGGTCAGTCTCTGTATGTTTGGCAGTTCTCATTGGGAGCCTGAAGGACCATATCTCTTATGTCTTTACATATGACGAGTGAGTATATCTTTAACATGTTTTTTTTTTATAACCAGAAGTGTATTTATTATCTTTGTTTAAAAAAAAAAGAAAAGAAAAACAGGGTGTGTTATGTTAACATTTGCTGAGTCACTGTCAAGTCTGCTTGAGATAGCTGCTCCTTTCAATGACCTTTCACCATGACGTCATTTGTTACCTAAACACAGTGAGCTTTGCTGACAGTATGTTGTTAATATTAACTTTAGGTGAATGTTGTGGTCTGCAGCGCTGTTGACAATGTCATTTTGTCTTCAGTCAGTAATACTAGGATAATATAATGTGTGTCACAGGGGTAAAATATAATACACATATCTCATGATTGTGTCATTTTCCATCTCCTTTACACTGTAAATTATGAGTCTCTCTTCTTTCAGAGAAATCAGGGAGAGGGCTGCAGATGTAATGGCTTTATATGCCCCATTCATGTTCCTAGATGCTATATCAGTAAGTATGTCTAAAATTACGCCCAAACATGGTCACATGACAGACACACATACAAGCATCAGCCCATTGCGTTTGCAAAAATATACCAAGTGCTTTTTTGTCCAGTCTAACTGCCTCTTTACTGTGTTTGCGTGACTAGGCTGCTTCAGGAGGCATTATAAGAGGAGCAGGTAAACAGAGGATTGGAGCTGTTTGCTACTTTTTGGGATATTATGGTGTTGGTTTTCCCATTGGAGTGTCGCTGATGTTTGCAGCCAAATTAGGAATCAAGGGTAAGATGTACAGCATGTTTTGTAGATGCTCTTTTTTGCCACATTGATGCCTAACTAATTTAAATAAAATTTTTTAAGTTTTGTCCCCAGTGTCTGTTTTGAGCAAGAGATCCACCAGGGCATCAACATCTCTAAAGCTGAGACGTAAAACTCTTTATCTCCCTCAGGTCTGTGGATAGGTCTGTTTACCTGTGTGGCTCTTCAGTGCACATTCCTGATTACCTACCTTGTGAGAATGAACTGGAAAAAAGCTACAATCGAGGTTAGTATTCAGAGGTGAATCTTCCCATTCTGCATGGCCTAAGGCAACTTCTTTATGAATAAACGTTCACATATTGTTGTTCTTCCAGGCTCAAATCAGAGCGGGAGTGCGTGGGAGCTCCACAGACACAGGTAAGAGACATTGTGTAGAAACTAAAGCTTTTTTTTTAACTAATATTTATTATTTATCTGAAATGCATTTACAGAACATTCGCAGGATTGAGCTTCAGGTCATTTTTGATCACAGGAGTAAAACACTGACCACAAATGAGGATTTTCCTTCGTAGCAAGCGCAAACATTGGCTCATTTTACTTGGATGACACTCATACAATCAATACCGGATACTTGTTTTATCTGAGTATTCAGCCTGGTCTCACTCCGAAGTCATCGAAATCTGGCTCTTGGGCAGTGACTTGCGCTCGGACACTGACAAAAAAAAGCTGTCCTTTATCATCAGCATGATACACGGCTGGTCGCTGTTATAGTTCAACAGCACTTGGCAGGGTCAGGGGAAAATGTGGCAGGACAAGAACTAGGTTAACAAAAGTCCAGGTAGTGCAGGCGGGAGGGGCAGTGGATGGGTCCATAATTCCATAAACATGACTTTCACCCTGTAGAGCGGCATTCGTGTCCCCTAAGATTATAAAGCCAAACCCTGTTCTTTTTTCCTAAACCTAACTACTTGCTACAAAAACGTCAATTGGCGATGCTGTACTGACATAGTGCCTTTATTTTGAAAGAGACAGTATGTAAACGGTACATTTCCTGTGAAAACGGAAATGTGTTTTGAAAGAATACAATGCATGTAACAGGCCTAACTTGACACAGTGTTCCAGAACTTCAACAACCAATGCACCCAGGGTACCTTGCATGTCATATGTGGATGTGGAAAGTCCATGACCAAATGTCAATGTGTGACGAGATTGAAGTGAGAATGTGTTGAGTATTTTGCTCAACCCTAATTCCTACACATTAAAATTTTGGTCATCAACTGCTGTCATCTCTAGTAGCAGTAGTAGCCCCAGTAACTTTGAGTTACTAACAATAACATTAATTCTGGCTAACAAGCATTAGCGTAGGCTGTGTTGATATTAGCAAGCTAAGTTCTGGTTTCACTTGGGCTCTCTCTATTAATGCATATAAATAAAAATAAGCATAGTTTAATGTGAATAACTCTTTTTTTTCCAGAAATGTCAGATAGAAACTGTAATTCTAAAGTAATAATATAATAATTTTCAGTGAAAACATTACAGTCATATTTTTATTTCCAGGTCCCCAACCTGATGATCACGGCCAAACAGACATCCAGGACCTAGTTGACGCTGAGGCGGCAACAGCAGTAAGAACAGTGGGAGAGGAGCTCTCATATAGTACCCTGGTTCTGCGTAGGGGCCTTGCTCTGGCTGGCATGCTATTCATCCTGGCTGCTGGAATTATTATAAACCTGCTTATCATGAACTTGGATACATGGACATGAGCAAAGTCTACTGTATTCAGTGAAATAATACTTTTGCCACTGGAACATGATGTGATGCAGACATCTGCAGGAAAGGGTGTTAGAACATGAAGAACAAAGGCACACGTGCAGATAGGCAGAAAGTAGGCAGATCACAGAGAGTGAAATGGTGTATGATCAATCAATTAATCCATTGAAGCCAAATATTAGTCAAACATTAATTTGCAAGATTTTTCCAGTGAATCTGCCAATGTATGGCTCACAACCACACTCTGTTAAAGAGAATGAGTCAAACTGAAGACAACCTTTGTATTTAACACATTAAACAGAAGCATTGTGGTTTTGGACTCTCAAGGTCAATCTGACTCTTCCTTTGGGACCAGTGCAGTGGAGAGAATCTGATCAGGAGTATATGTCGTATTTATCCAGTCCGAAGTAAAATTGGTCTCTGACGGCAGGGTCATGGAGAGACGACCTCCCTTCACATGCTGGACTGCATGTCCATCCTGTGTCTCTCTGTTCCCATCATGGCACTCTGTGTAGCCATCCACTGACTTGGGAGAGAGATGTTGCCCATTACTTTATTTTGTTGAGTCGTATGGAGAGCAAGCAGTGTCAAACTCAGTCAAAATGCAAAAGCTTTACACAGAAATATGAATGTCAATTGATTAAAATACCTTTAGATCAGCAGGCCACTTACATTTCCATTACTGGCTGTCTGATCAGCGGTGTTGTCAGCTGTAGCATCTGACTGGGCAGCTGTGCTCAGTAATGTCATGGGAGTGGTTTTCTGTGCTCGGTTTACAGCCTGCAAACAAATACAAACAAAAACCAAGTAAAGTGCACTCAGTAGAGTGCACATCTCCGCCAGGCGGTTGCCCTGGCTGGTCGTGGCCACTCTAGACAATTTTTATAATTCAAACAGATGCACCATTTAACTATTTCGCCTGCTTACTTACTTACGTACTTACTTATAGTAGAAGTACAAATTTCAAGCAAGTCTACATTATACAGGCAGGCAAAACACTCCACTTCTGAAATGCTCCTAGTGTGATATGATGCTGTACACAGCAGCGGCCAGTGTAACTTTCCATTCTGACTCCCTTACAGTGAAAATAGTGTCAAAGTTAACAGAAAATAGGGATGGCAGTTTTTGAGCCATGACGAAGGCAAAAATGTGGCCTCCGACAGATGGTTAGGTTTTTTGTTGTTAGCCAAGCTGATTTCTGGAAAACTTGCGGTCCCCACCAGCCAGTTAAGAGGAGTGAGGAGTCAGATGTCAATGACGTCTCGTGGAGATAATAACCAGCTTCCAATTTTTTAAAAATATTTTTGCATGCAACAAATAGCTTTAAAAAACACAACTTCCACACAAAGGTCCAAATTCTGAGGCCCTGCTCAGCGTACCTCCTCTGTCATTCTCTCCCGGTTCAGCTTGAAGATGACAATGATGTAGAAGGTGGATTGTAAAATGACACAAACAAGCAGTCCCAGCCAAAAACCTATGGCGAGAGACAATATAGTTATGTATGTGCACTGCAGGATTCATTTGGAAAAATCTATTTGTAAAAGAAAAAAAAAGTTCATTTCATATTATTACCTAAAATTCTCAGTTTTGCAACAAAAATTAAAGTAATGCTCAGTGGAAGTCCTATGCAGTAGTATCCAATGAAATTGGCCACAGCTGGTATCTTCTGTTTGCCTGTGCCCAAGAAGATGCCTGTAGACACACACTAGAATGCAGAGAGACAAATCTCTGATTATTACACAGTTTTAGCCCACTGGCCACCATGTGCCAACTTCTTCTGTAGATACTTCAACATCTGCCGTGCTAGATGAATAAATGAAACTGTTGGACTCACCACAAGGGCATCAAAGAACTGAAGAAAACAGTAAGCATTCATCAAGTGTGCGACCAGACCTATGATCTTCCTGAAATAAGGTTTTATGATTAACATGTATTCTTATTTTTCTAGGCAAATCTTTGTATGTAGCAAAAGCACTTTTTTTTTTACTTCTATTAGTTCTTGAAATGTGAGTGTGACTGCAGAGACTCACTCATCAGAGGTGAAGATGAAGCCAATCACTGATTTAGTAGAGCCGAGTACAAGACCTTCAACAACTGCAAAGCTACCTGGAAAAGAGGAGGTGGGAAAATGTTGAAGAAATCAAACATCAAAAGCTGATTTGTTAATATAACAAGTGAACATGTTTATAACTGACCTGCAAGAGCGAATGACATCTTGGTGGTGAGAAGCGCCCTGGCAGTGTCTCCTGCACCGAGAGCATTACCCACTCTAGCACACGCCACAACTTGAATACAGAGGGGGAACTATGGATTCATCATTTTGCAAAAATAATATGAAAAAATACATTAAAGAAGTATGATCAGAGATAGAGCAGTTTCTCCTGAGAGTATTTAAAAGCTACTGTAAACCATCACTTTAACTGGTGAAAGTTATTTTTCATTTGCTTATCCTCTTAGTGGGTCACGGGGGGGCTGGAGCTGATCCCAGCTGGCATTGTGCAAGAGGCGGGGAACACACTGGACAGGTCGCCAAACTATCACAGGGCTGACACATAGAGACAGACAACCATTCACACTCACATTCACACCTACGGCCAATTTAGAGTCACCAATTAACCTGACTAACATGTCTTTGGACTGTGGGAGGAGGCCAGAAAACAACAAAGAACATGCCAACGTGCTGCCCTAGTTGATTTTTAACTAATCTAAATCTGAGAAATGTTTGGAGAACACTTTAAATGTGGGATTGTAATGCTGTGACTTGTAGTTAGTACCATGTAGGTTATGAATGCCACCATCATCACAACATGTTGGGCTGCCAGCTCATCTTCACTCAGTATTCCTGATCATTAGAGACAGAGAAGAATAGTCATGACTCAGAGTTTGTATCTGGTTTGTCAAAATGAAATGTCTTACAAATAGAGCTGCAATGATTGATCGATTAGTTGTCAACTAAAGCCCCAACCTCACTTGAACACTGTGGGGGTACACACACATACATAAACGTCCCGAAAACAGAGAGTAAGAAGAAAATATGGGGAAAATACTCTGATTCCAGTGTCTCAAATGTGAGTATTTTCTGTTTGTTTAGTATTTATTTTTTATCTTTGGGTTGTGGACAAAACATGATATTTGAGGATGTCATCTTGGGCTTTGGGAAAGACTGAATTTTTCACTGTCTTCTGATATTTTGTAGAATAAACAACTAATCACTTAATAGGAAAATAATCATTGGTTGCAGCCCTACTTACCAGTATATAGTACTTGAATTACCTGCAAAGATTCCCCCAAACTCATAAATCCACCACTCAAAGCACCTCATTAATGTACTGGGAATGGCTAGTTTCATGTAGGAGCCCCACTCCTGCAGTGATTCTACAGACCAGCCTGCAGGGGGAGAGAGAAACTTATTTTTGTAAAAACTTGATGGATGAACAAAGTGGACCATAAGATCCCAAAATCACCACAAATGTTGCCTCACCTCCCCATGTTGTGACATGGAGCTACTTCCACCAGATGAAGCAAACAGAAAGACACATTTGTAAATGTGAGACAGCGCGTTGGCTGCTGCAGATCCACTGTATGCACACAGACATGCTGACATCAGTGCGTGCAATAGCTTTAATCAGATTCAGAAATCTCTATAGTGCATGTGCGAGTACACCTACTTAACACCAAGATCCAGCCAGTATAGAAAGATGTAGTTTGTCACCACATTTGCTATGTTTGCCATGGCAGCAGTGTACATTTGTGGCAGTATTATACCCTGAGTACAAAAACATGGGCAATATGATTACCACTACTCATACCTTTCTCCTCAGAAATGATATTACAATATTGTTCAATAAGATTCACAACATTTGTATACACTGAAATAAGATACAGGACGGCACCAACTCAAAGAACTGGACTTGGGTTTACGACAAATATGCACCTGGTTTTGCAGGTAAGACACCTGGAGATGTTGCAGAAACATTACCTACAGAGAAAGTTGATTTTAATAAGGCGTTTATAAAATATCTAGCAGCTCATTGAGCAGAAAAACAAAATAACAACAGAAAACAACAGAAAAACATGTTGAATTTTCATTGAAAGGTGAGAGAAAAGGTATGACTCACTGGTACTGCAGGAAGGAAGCATGTGATATACTGCTGGGCTATTCTGAAATCAAGACAATGTATTCAATTCAAATTAAGGACAAGCAAGCACTTATCAGTTCAAGGTAATATACACTGATCAACGTCATCCAATCTTATTTATATTTATGGCCACTCAGAAGCAGGATGTGGGAAAGATTTACTTATTAAAGACTCTCTAAGTCTTCCTAAGCTTGAAAAGTTTTTGTCACATACAGCAAGGTGCAGGAAGACTGCTCAGTTGGCCAGCCTGCTACCAGGCCACTGACAATAATATACGACTTCACCCCAGCTGAGCAAGGTGTCGGTAGCTACACCTCGTGTTGAATGTGCCCGTCACTCACCATTACTGGCATGCCAGCCCCTCTGTAAGCCTGCTGAATTGTCTCCACGACCCAGTGAGACAGCCTAGTCTTGATACTGGCTGGCCCTGGCACTGGACCTTAAAGCAGACATAGAGTTGGTCTGTCTTTCTAATCGCTGTAGTGCGCCAGACATAGACCTTTAGGGCTCTGATGTCACTGCCAAGAGAAAAAACATTTTAAGAGACAGCAACTTAATGCTGACTGACTCCAGAGGCTCAAAAGGTTCCTGCTGCAGGGCAACCAACACCTGACCCAGGTCCCACGATGGAATGACCAGCCTCCTGGTATGCAGTGCAAGCCTCTGTGCACCCCTCAGGAACTGAGAGATGAGACTGCAGTCACCTGTGTAAAGGGATGGAACAGGGCCCCCTGTGCCTGACTCAGAAGGTCCTGCTGGACAGGCAGCTCCCATGGCCTCCCAGCCACGAGAGGCACCACCTCAGAGAACCATGTCATGTGGGGCCAGTTCGGGGTCACCAGGATCAGCTGTACATCCTCCTTCCGAACTCTCTGCAGTAGATGTGGGAGAAGAGTGAACGGGGGAAACGCATACAGCAGGCCTTGAGGCAACTGGTGTGCCATGGCATTGATGCCCAGGCGGGAAGAGTCCCACCCATGGAAAAGAACAGTGGGCAATGGGCAATGGGCATTGTCCCTGGTTCCTGAGGGACAGGAACCATGTCCATGCCCAGGTCCACAGCCTGTGTGCTATTCTGCAGAGGTTTGGGGAGCCCATGCCCCCTTGCCTGTTGACATATGCTGTTGGCTGTGGGCTGAAGAGATGCCTCTGGACTGGGCGCATGTGTAGAAGAGCCAAT